CGGGAGCAGGCACGGTGCCCGGCGGGCACAAGCATTGGGGAGCCACGGGGTCCTGCACCACGGCCTAAAACTGGAAGGTGAGAGAAGACAAGCAGTTGTCAAGTTGCCTCCCACAGATGCTCTCTTGGCCCCAACGTGCCTCCCCGTCACCAGGGAGGGACGCCGAGGTCGCTGACAGAGATCCACAGCCAGGCTTCTCCCACTGCCTTGCCCGTTGTGGCAGTCGCCATAAAGGGCCACGTCCCCCACGGTTACTGCCCACTCCCAAATGTGCTCTGAGAGTGCTGTAGCTGGCACTTCACAAGCAAATGGGGTGCAAGCACACCCAGGTGTCCTCGTCCCACCCATGTCCAAGGGTTTCCCTTGGAAGAATATCACCACCATGCCCGCAGATGGGACAGAGGAGATTGGGGTAAAAGGGCTACACTGGTTTTGAACCCTACACCACAACGCCAAAACAAGGGACCCATCTCCTTCCAGTGAAGACCCTTACATTCTTGAGAAACTCCTCTGCCACGATGCGGGCCCTGGCGTTGACAGAGAGCTTCATCTCGCTGATCTCTTTGTCGATCTCCTCCATGAAGTGGATGACAAAGTCCACCAGCTTGTGTTTGTACATCTGCTCCGTGTGGAAGTTTGTGATCAAGAAGCTGATGTCATAGCCCTGGCAACAGAAGCACCCTGGGGATGAGCACCCAGGCCACCAACCACATGATCTTGCATCCCAGTTCTGCACCACAGACTCCTCCCTTGTGCCAGGATCTGCTCTGCCCCCTCCCTGCCACCTCACCTCTACGGGCTTTCTGCGCAGGATGAAGAAGTTCTCGGCCCTCATCATCATGAAGCGCATGAATTTGTGGCACAAGATCTTCTCGATCTCATCAGCCTGGGGAGAGGAAAGGGAAGTGAGGCTTCCCCTGCGCCAGGCGTGAGCTGTCAGCCCACTGCCCGCACCCCCCACTCCACCTGCTTCACAGCGATGCTGACGCGCACGGAGTTAATGGAGCCCTCGATGAGGACCTTCTCCTTCTCGTTCCTGCTTATGATCCCCGGCTGCAACAGCAACTCTTTGCTGCTCCTGCAAGCAGAGGAAGGGCAGGACTGCCTCAGAAAGAAGTATTTACTGGTCAGAAGTGGGGACGGGGAGCACATAAGCAGGGACAAAACAGATATGCAGGTCTAGCTTCACGCTGCTACAGGATGCTCTCTGCCTCCTGGAG